TATCTAAAATAATAATTTCCTTGGCATTCTCATTGCCCCTTAAATTCGACTCGGAATTTAAATTCTTACTACTGACAATTACATTTCTTTTAACAAGATTTGTGGGACATCTTTCCCAAATAAAATTCTTAACATCCCTTCTAAGAGAATAACGGACAATATTCCTCGGATATTGTTCCCACCTAAATCGACTAACCTCCCTCTCAGAGAAATTACGAGAATGATTTCTTATTTTAATTCTATTATTCCCATTATCCCGACTAACAATATTAAATGTGTTGTTAAACAAATTTTTCCGAACTCTCGGTGCCCCGACTCCTATATGATTCACTCTGCAATCATATAGTCAACACAAATTTTGAGATACTTCCATACAGTCCACAGCTACATGTCCCGGCCTTTTACATTTAAAACATAATCTGGCCCCATTTAAACTAACCATTTTTACATTAGCATTTCCTATTTCAGGTCTCTTTAATGGAAATCCATCTTTAAACCTTTGCTTTGGGACTACGCAGGTATCCCTTTTATGTCCTCGCTATCCGCAACGATGGCAAATGATCATTTCTACAAATGTTTTATTTCCTGACAATCCTTTATTTTACTCGTAATCCTCAAATTTCTTATTAATATTTCGATCACTCACCTGGCTCTTAACCGAATTACTTTCCTTTATCAAAGCATTAATGGCTTCTTTCATTTCTAACATTTCCAGGAGGATCCTATCTGACCTCTCCCCAACATTTCCAGCCTTGATTTCCTCTAAAACATCTTTTAGATTACTTTCCAAGTCTGCTATTTTCCTCCCATAAATATCCGATATTAAATTAAAATACGTTTCCTCCATTTCCTTTTTATAAACATCTGACATCGCAGTGTCCTTCTTCCAATTGCAATACATGCCTGCCAGTACCACAGTACCCCTTTTTATCACATATTTACCATAATGCATATATAAATTATTACCAATATTCTAATTACCATGCCCTGCTTAATTAAATCCAACTCATCAAACTTTTTATACAAAACTTTAAGACCCAAATTTTTTTATAGTGAAATCTTAGCAGCCACACTATAATCATGATACCTAAAAAAATGAACCATTTGGTCAATCTTTTAGTCAATACTAATACTCAATTACAAACACTTTAGATACTTGTAGAAAATATTAAAACAGCACCTTAAATTAAACTTCACTAGCTAAATCGTATAATGGTTAGTACAAAGGCGCAGTCAAAAATTCTAAAAAAATTATATAATCAAAAATTTTTTGTTTTACCTTCTAAACCGAATAACTCCTAGGAAACGATCAGCGTCACAAAGCACCACTAAAAAAAACCCTAAAAACACAAACTAAACAAAATCTACCTAAACAAATCCTCGAAACTAAACCCAACCCTTCTAAAAAGCAAACTATCAAAGATTATACGAAATTACAAATCAGAAAACCAAGAAAAACTAAATGACAATCCAAAATTTAAATAACTCAATAGTCAATAATAATAAATCTTTATTTACGATAATATCAATAATTTATATATTTTTCAAATTAATTCCAAAAAAAATAATAATCCAATATCAAATCTATATTATATAACTACAATATTACATAAAAAACATGTTATAATATATACTATATATATTTATAACTACAATTATATCTAATGTAAGAAAAAATATATAATGTAAACGTATTTACGAATACGACAGTTATAATTTGGTAAACGAAAATATGGCGGAGTTTACATTGTATATAAATCATGGCTTATTAAAAAATGGTCGGAAATTTTTAAGGGCAAAATGTTATTAATTTAAATTTGATAAAAAGTAATTTTATACTCCCTCTGTTGGCTTATATGCATATAGGACTTTATTTCTGCTCACCTGAGGAGGGTATCCTTAATAAGTTTCCGACCTTAAGACAAGGGAAGTTTATCGACTTTACAATGTTTAGTAAATAGATCTATCGATCATATATAGGGGCTTATCGGCGCTTATAAAATTAAGTATTTTGTTTTGGCGGACTATTACCCCCTATATTGGTGTTTTATTAACAAAAACATGTGTACTGATTATCAATTTATTATTGCTATATAATGTATTAGTGTCAAAGGCTATCTAGTATTAAAGCGTATGTTATTTCGGGGAAGGTAAGGCACTTTCCTCCTGGTCAGGGGAGCGTTCCTCATTGTCCAAGAGTTCTTCCGATCCGACCGTATTATTGCCTTTGGTTAGATTTAATGTTTCGTCGAATAAAACACTTTTCAATTAATATTACTATCAAATTATCAAATATTTAGTAAGTGGTCGATTTTGAGCACGGCATTCGGTCAATCATGATATTTTCAAAATATTTTTTAGGATAATGTTTAACACCTTAAATCAAAAATAAAGAATTTTCCTTGGATAACACCAGCAATGCAGTATTTAGTCATTAGGCCGGTTATCGGTTATCAAATCACGATATTTTAAAAATATTTTTTGGGATAATTTTTACACGTATTTATAGATATATAAACCAAAAATGAACATTTTCCAATTAATGTTACTACCAGATTTGGTCAATCGAATATTTAATGAGTGGACGGTTTTGTGCTCGGCATTCAGTCAAATCATAATATTTTTAAAATATTTTTTAGGATAATGCTTAACACATTATTGTACCGTATAAACCAAAAATGAAGAATTTCCCACGGATAACGCCAGCAATGCAGTATTTCTTTTTCAAATCGGTTATAGGTCTAATCACGATATTTTTAAAATATTTTTTGGGATAATGTTTTGCACGTATTTATAGATAAATAAACCAAAATTGAACATTTTGCATAATATTACTACCAAATTTGGTCAATCGAATATTTAGTAAGTGGTCAGTTTTGAGCTCGGCATTCGGTCAAATCATAATATTTTCAAAATATGTTTTAGGATAATGCTTAACACCTAAATATACACGTATAAACCAAAAATGAAGAGATTTTGATCAATAACGCCAGCAATATGTGCCTTACAAATTATCTATTATTTTTCGTTTCTAAACCTACTCATTAATTAAATGTCAAAAACATATATTTTTTAAATTTTTTTTTAGGTTTTTACATGTATTTACACCCAAATATAAAAAAGCGCTATCCAATAATTATTCTGGTTTCTTAAGAATATATTTTCATATTTATGCATTTAAAGCCCTTTTATAGATATATATTTGTTAAATTTTACAATTGAAAAATAAAATTTAAGTTGTAATAAGCTAGTAAATATATTTTTTTCCCAATAATATTAAGTAAAAATAGAATTTTAAATTATCAGAAATTTAATCTCAATTTTTTACTTAATAAAAAATTGATTTATGTACATTGAAAAAAATGTTTCTGAAAATTAAAAAAAAATATTATATAATCAAATTTTGATTGATTATGATTAATTGCTTTTTAACAATGCAGTATTTAGTCATACCGGAATTTAGGAACTTATGCTATCAAATTTACTTGTCCAAGGTACATTTCTAAAATGATAAAAAAATCAATATTAAAAAATAGCGATGAAATTAACAAATTCGGCTAGAAAGTTCGCACCTAATTCTGAACTAGGATGGGGCATAGCGATACTAATTTATTAAGCCTGGGCAAGCTGAAGCACATTTTAAGAAAGTTTCCATAGCCCATCGACCGGTCTGTTGTTTTGAATCTTTTTTTTTAATACTGGAAATTATTTTTAACTCCAGAAAAAGAGGAATTAATATTTAAAAAAGAAAATAATTCCTAATATGAAATTAAAATTTTTTTAATTGTTACTGGATATATAAAATGCAAATGTGTTATTCATCTGAACTTCTGGTCTAAACCATGGGTTTGAACCCCGGGTCTTGCTCGGGGTTCGTGCTCAGAGCTGGTTTAGTCGATTTTTAGACCCAAACCCCGGATCTGGGTTTTACACAACCACAACCAATCAATTAACAACACTTGTCACACATGATTTCTGAATAAAATTTGTTAACTTAATTGCATACATGTTGGGCAAATTTTCAAAAAAAAGTATTTAATCACAAATACACTACAGAAATTTTTAATATAAATACAAACTGCTTTCAAAAAGAATATTAATAAATACTTTTTAAAAAAATTTCAAAATAGTATTTAAATATAAAATACCTTAACGAATACTTTTTAGAACTAGTTTTTATATAGTTACTCTAACTATATCTATTGATGATTTAAAAAAAAACAAACACATAATATTCAAAATATTGCAAATATAGTTATTTCAACAAAAAACACATATTGTCTAATAAATTACCAATAATTATTTCAATAAACATTTTTAAAATATTATTTAAAATGGGTTTGACTAAACTGTAAATATTATAGATATAATTTATTATACTTTATTAATTCAGTACTGATTTCTTATCTTATAAAATTAACTAGTAATTTAAATTAAACTAGTGAATATATAATAATGAACAAACAGAAATTATTGTTTTTGACGATACATTGTATTTTATATAGCAGTGAAAATATTCTGTGTTTTTTATTGGGACTATAAGTAAAATGATTTTTTGATTTTAGAAATAAATTAAAAAAGAATCACAAAAATTAAACACAATAGTTCGACCTTGTATTTTGTCAATCTTATTTAATGATTGCATTACTATGTCAATCCTGTTCACATCATCATTTTCAACTTTATTTAAAATCATATATATAATGGCGAAATTTATTAGAAAATTAAAACAAAATTTACCTCGGATCACAAATTTAAAAATTAAATTTTACAATGATAAAAAAATATTTATTAAAATTATTTTTTATATAAATATTTTTTATTTTAGAGCATTTAAATTGAAATTACTTTTAAAAATATCCAAATGAATTCAAATATAAAGACAAAAAAGTATTTAGTATTTAAAAAACTATTATTTGCGAAACCAACTTTGCATGTATGTTTTACTCACTAAAAGGATGAATTTGAATTTTTACATATAATATGTATATATAAAATAGAATGTGGTACCCGACCCGGAACCTTGAAGGATAAAGGTTTAGCCGCCCTCCTCTTCACCCCGGACGACCCCGATGCTGTCTTTTTTGACGTTCGTGAAATCGGGCGGGGCAGTTTCGGTTCGGTTTATTTTGCGAGAGTCGCTCACACTCGTGAAGTCGTGGCCATCAAGAAGATGTCGTTTGCCGGCAAACAGGCCCGAGAGAAATGGGCAGACATCGTGAGGGAGGTGGCCTTCGCCCGCCTCCTTTCCGGAGAGATCGATCTGAGGAATACAGTGAGATGATACTTGAATATACATGGTTTTCCATTTAAAAAAGGAAAATATTATTAGAAGAGGTTCAATCAAATAAAAGATCTAATCAAGAAGGAAAAAGCAAACCTATCGGATTTTTTTTTAAAAAAAATTTCCGCCTGGTCTGGTTCATATATTTAATTTTATGGCCCAATCCGGATTTTTTAAAAACATTTATTCATAATTTTTAAAGCTAATAATGACGATATAAAATATTCGCCGGGTATTTAAAAAACATTTTAGGTCCTATCCGGTTATTTATAAGAAATTTTTTTAGGTCCTCCCCTGGTATATTTAAGAAATTAAAATACGGCCCATGTACCCGTGCCTGGCTTGCAGGTCTCTGGGAAAAGGTCTGATAAACAAACATTTCCTCTCAATCTCTAAAAATTGGGAATCTCACTTATATCTCCCTTTAAAGCAATATTGCAAATAATATTAAGGGATGCTAGGAACTAAACACTCGTGTTTAAATTGGGTTAAATAAGAAATGGCAAGATTCACAATTTAAATGATATTTTTTTTAACGATTTAGAACCATCCATATAACATTTGTCCCATTAAAAAAGGAAAGTATCAAAAAAGAGAAGGTCTCACCGAAAATGGAAAATGTTTCCCATTCAAAAAATTAAATCGTCATTTATTCTATTTTTTAAAATATTTTAAACAATTGGAAAGGGTTTTTTTTAATATTTTATATTATTTTTATTATCATAATTTTAGATCATCCTATAATGACATATTTTTAGCATTTTTTCTTTAATTTTATGCTATTTTTAACCTATTTTTGTCATCTTACCTCAATCTTCGATTATATTTTTTGTTATAACCTTGGATTTTCTTTTTTCTTCGTAATCTTTCTTATATTTTCTATTTATTTTTTGACATTTTTGGTTTCTTTTCTATTTTTTGATATTTAAGCAATTTCCTATCACCTTTCATACTCTTAGGAACATATTAATTTAATTACAATTAATCTTAACATTTACAATAATAACTTTTCTAAAATTAATTTGTATCCTATTTTTAATAACAGGGTGTTGAACTGACAAGTATAACGATTCAGTTCCTTTCCGATTCTTAGTTTGAAATATGAAAAGGGTTTAGTTTCTTTTCTGGTATTTTAAAACTAATTTATATCGGTTCATTCCGGTTTATAAATCCATATCGGTTTAGCAATTTTAAAATTATCATATTTATTATTTGGTTGATCCCTTAATCTAATAAAAATATTTTCTAAAAAAAATCCAAAATAAAAGAAAATAGATTGAATTTCTTACAAATAATTAAAAACCGTTAAGAACCTGGTACGGTTTGGTTTAAATTTTTAATATAACGGTTTGGTTAGGCTCGGAAAATTATAATGATTCATTTCTGTTTCGCGGTTCGGTTCGACACCTTCTAATTATAGTAATTTTGGGTGTTGGTTATGTAAAATTTTTTTAAATCTGCAAGAATATTTATGTTGATGTAGCTATAGCCCTCATTTGTTCAATATTTGTATAACCTTAGAAGGCATTTTAACCTTATATTATTCACATTCCCCCTTCTTTAAAGCTTATCGAATCTGACTCAACCACCCCTACTCTAATGGAAAAGCCAAACGTGGTTTTGAGCGAGCCACACCCGAACCTTGTCCACTACAAGGCCTGTTACCTCAAAGACCGCACTGCTTGGCTAGTGATGGAATATTGTCTAGGAAGCGCTTCCGACCTCATAGAAGTTCGCAAGGAGGAATATTTGGCTTTTAATGCTAAGATTTCTGTGTAAAATATTAGATATAAGTTTTTCTTATTCATATAAACCATCTGATAAGATTTTTTGGTAAATAATTGAACATATATTTAGTTTTATTAACCCTGCTGTAAGCATTTTGTTATAATGTTTGAACCACTTTTGGAAACCACTTTTATGAAATATATAGAATTTTTCTTTTTTAAAAAACGATCCATTCAAAAAAGGAAAAGGTTCTATCAAAAAAGGAAAAGGTTCGATCAAAAAAATAAAAAGTTAGGTAAAATAAAGTCCAACCAGAATTGGAAAACGAACAATCAAAGAAGGAAAGGTGCGAACAAAAATAAATGTGAATTAAAAAAAGAAAAGACTTTATTGAAAAAGAAAAATGGTTAATCAGGAAATTATTTAATTTTTTTCAATTCTTTATTTTTTGGTTTAATTATTATCATTCACTATTTTCATCTTTCCTGTATTTTGGTTTTTGAGTTATTTTTAATTTATATAGTTTTATTTTTAGTGATAATTATGATTATTCCGAGTGATTTTGGGGTTTTTAATTTTAAAGAAATGTATTTTTAAATTGTAATTTTTTTATATTATTTTTTTTACAATTAGGAGCTTCCCTATAAAAGAAGAGCGAATTATAATAATTAATTAATTTTTTTTCCCATTTCCTTGAATATAATTCGTGCGATTTTTTATATATACTCAAGGCGGGCACCAATAGTTGAGTGTGACCAAAATAAGGTAAAGACCAATTTTTTTGATATTGTATAATTTTTGGGGAAATATTGTGGAGCACTATGGTTTTTTGAGGCAGTAGTGGAAAAAATAGTAAAGCAATTTACCGTGGTTATTGGAGGTGGTAGTGAAAAAATTACAGTGAATATTAAAAGTTGGTGAAAAAATGTTATGTACTGTTGCGTCGTTTCAGTGTTGATTTTATTAATTATATCATTATTTAACTTTACAATCTTGGTAAAGTTATTAATTTTTTATAAATAATGTTTGGAAGTAAACTGTTTTGTAAAAATATTTAGTGCTAAATTAAATTAGTTAGATATAAATTAACAAAAATCTTTGGATTATTTTATTTAAATTTTTTTATAAATTTCAATTGAAGAGTTTAAAATAACAAAGTACGTGGAGTTGCAGTACAATGTACTAGGGGCAGTGGTTATATTAGTAATATGGTTGTGCAGTTTATACTTTGGTAGGAAAGTACGAAGAGAGATAAGTATTCGATTTTGTGGGCAGTCGTTTGGTGGAGGGTAATGATGAAGAGGATGATAGATTGGGTAAAGTAAAGTAGTTACCAGTGAGGAGATTATGAGAGGATGGGTGAATAATGATGAAATTGGGAGGATGGAAAATGGAAATTATGATGAGAGAGGTATGGTCATTACCGAGGGCGTCAAGAAGTGTCCCGAACGTTTGGTATTGAAGCGCATAGCAGTATAAATGTGATTTGTTACAAATGGGATGTCAGGGGACACATTGCGGTAAATTGCAGAGATTTCAAATGTTTTGAATGTGGAAAAAGGGTCATATTTCAACGTATTGTCTGGGTAAGAGATCGATTACGATACGCAAGATGTGTAAGATTTGCGCATGCGGAAAATGAATGCAGAGTTGGAAAGATAGATACGAAGAGGCTTTCCACAGAAGAGAGAGAGTTCAAATGCTATCAATGTGAAGAGTGTGGCGGAGGTAGCAGCGAACGGAGAAATAAATATCGAATGTAAAACTGTGTTTCAAATGCCGAAAAGAAGGGTATTGGGTGAGAGATTGCTATATGAAATGATTATATGGTTATGAGAAAAAGAGAATTCAAGTCGAGTCGTTAAGAACGTAAGGGGATATGTATTATATTGGTATTAAAATTAAATAAATCGATTAAATATAACCAATATGATATCCTGGGACAATGAGTTAGGAAGCAGCCCATACGGATATGGTTATTAGGACTATATATTTTAAAATAAAAATATTTTAAAATTTTATTTACAAACAATTATAAAAAACCACTTGATGTAAAAAAATATTTTAAATGAATAATTTAGACAAATTAGGGGAAAAGAAACCTAAAGAATTTATAATTTCGTCAATATTGTTTAAATAAATTTTATTCTATTGATAAATGGTTAAATTATTTAGAAAATTATCTTTCATAATATTACGAAGTTTTGTTTTACTTAGTTTAATTTTACTCAGGGCCCTTTCGGCAGTACGTGAGGTAGTAGGAATAGTTAATGAATATTTAGATTAAATTGATAAAATAGGTAAAGCAAGCGAATGATTTTTCCACACTGAATTATAAGTTTTAGAATCATCATCATCATAAGAATAAGTTAAATAATATATTAACATAAATATTTTAATAAAATAAATTTACAATCCTCAAGAATTTGACAAGTCTTTAATTATTTAACCTCCAGGTCATGATAATAATTACATCCCCCCTTTTAGCCATCATATAAATATTTCGAAAATCAGATATTTCTTCAAAAACTTGACTTTTAAATGGTAAAATTTAAAAATATCCTCGATATCATCTTTAACTAATGTGTTTTCCACCATTCCCTACTTGTAAAAAATTATGATTGATTTAAATATTTCATCGATTCATCATTAAATCTTTCATCAAACTGCATTTATCAAATCAAGTGCAGCATAAAACATAATGATTTCAAAGCTATAGATATTAAATTAACAAGTCTAATTGTGGATAGATTTAAAATACTAACGATAGTGAAAATTAACATAAATTAAAAATTATTACAAATTAAAAAAAATATATTAGAATTAAATTTAAGTATTACCCAAAGTTTTAAAAAATAATGTGTTTTCCTCAACTTGTAATAATTATGGCAAGTGAAATAAATGGTATCCTGTCATTACAGAGAAACCAATTATAGAGAAACTCTTACAGAAAAAACAATTTTAGAGGATGTCGTTTATAGAGAATTATTTTATAGAGATTCGCAAATTCCTCACCATGTCAAAATTTTGTTCTATAATCGAAAAAACTTGTGCAAAGATAAGCAAACTATTTTTTATGCCGATTGTAATAATTTTCTAACAATAAAAACTACACAATTATTTCCTCTAATATTTAATATTATTTCAAATGCTGTAATTTTTTTTCCCTATGACTATGTAGTGCCTAAGTAATAATTACACAAATTTATACAAAAATGTTATATATTATATATATATAACATTTTTTACAAAATAATCATCTTCTTTTAATAAAATTCTTTATAAAATAATTCTTTATAAAATACATTCTTTATAAAATAATTATCTATAAAAATGCATTTTCTATAAAATCATGCTCTATAAAATACATTCTCTGCTTCTCTATAAAATCATTCTATACAAATGACATGTTCTATAATTGTTTTCTCTATAAAAAATTCTCTGTAAAATACTTATTTTTAAAGATAAGAATACAAAATAAAATAGATATGTTAAAAGTTACTTTGGCAATGTAACTTAAAGAATATGATTAATACTATTTATATATGCAGTTTTTATAAGATAAACCTAGATATTCTACTAAATAAGAGCTTAGCAATATTCATTTCGAAATACAAATAAATTTTTATTTATAATAAATCCAAATAAACATTATAAATAATATACCAATATAAAAAATACAATTATATGATTAAATTAAAGATTTATATTATAGGATAAAGCCCTTAAATAATCCAGCATGGCAACAATTAGAAAAATCCTTTTGGATCTTTCCTGGTATTCTTTCTTTGACAGTGGAGCCAATAGTCCTAAAGAATATTGTTCCAATTTTTATCAATTCAGACTATCTTCGTCTTTGAGACCTAAAAATGAAAATGTTAAAATTTATAATATAATTACTAACTCTTTATAAATTTCCAGATCGTTGGATTTTGGGAACTTATATATGACGAAAAACTTCGATGCCAGCCCTCTAATGAATTATTGGTAATCGGTTCACGAGATAGTGTCGATTCGTAGCAATTCCATAGAGGAATGTTAAATATTGGCGACTTCCTATCCATCGCTATCATTATTCCAATCCACGTCTCTTCAAAGTATTCTATCAAGGGGGCGAGAATGTCCCTATTTTCTTGATAGAATTTAGAGGCACATGATTCCTCCAATCCATGAATTACATCCTCTACTGGTACATATGCCAGTGACATTAACACCCGCGCATTGCAGGCAGTGGAAACGACTGTTTAAAAGCAGATATCAAAGTCGATCATGATGAATTTATGATTTAAAAAAATTTAGAAATTTTTTATTTGATTGAAAATATTAACATAATTATGTTGGCGACGTGATGACATCAGAACACGAATAGCGAGGATAATTGTTTTATGTTTCATCCCGTGGATTGTGTATATTTGCTGGAAGAGAGTAGGACATGTCATGAATGTGCCATCTGCATACCATTTATCGTATGTTGATAAAAATTGTAAATTTTTATGGTTGAAAATATGATACATCGGTGATCATGATGACCACTATCATATAACAAAAATTGCTCATTATTATTGGATAATTGATATTCATTTGGTATGACCAAGTCAATCAGGCACATAGGAACGGCAGGCTCTTCCTACTTGGCGTCTTTTCCTTTGAATTGTCCTTTTAATTAAGGAACAATTGGGCATTCTTCCAGTGACCGCTATGGATATATTACTAGATATATCGGACATTATATTATTGGCCAGAAATTGGGAACTAGATGCCTCTTGTTTAATTCTATTTAACTATCTTCTTGCTTCAATGTCTGGTACATGTGGTTATGCTTTTGATTGTGGAATATATCCATTCTTAGTTCTGGCACATGATGTTTGGTTAGATGTTTTTTCTTTTTGAAATTGATAAAAATCAAGAAGTTGTAACTGATTATTTCGACTACTTAAAATAAATTCAGCCATAATTTAAATTTTTTTTATCAAATTAAAAAAAAAAATTATTATTACTTAAAACATTCTAAAATGGTCTTTAGTGACAAGAGAATAGAGAAAACAAT